ATATTTTAGCTACAATACAGAGAGTCGTCTCTATCTGTCACTCAGAGATTTTGAACCGGATCAACCTTTTACTCTTTACAAGGTATACCAAGTACAGAATTTAACCTCGTGATGGTTGGAGACAAAACACGTACCACTTCATTGAAAGATAATAATTTTGAAATACCATCCAACTGTGAATGAAAATGAAAGAAAGTGAACGATGAAGATGTCTAGGTTTGTAGAATATTGTCATTTCATCAAGAACTGGAGTGTTTATGTATATAAGTCGAGAGCGGAGTTAAAGGAGATTGACCTTACTTACTGTTTTCAGCGGTCAATCTCGGGCGAAACATTGATATTCTTTTCCAAGATGGATTTTCTTTACTGTAGGGTGTAGAAAGACAATATCAGACTGAGTATGATCGGGCAGCTAGATCCATACGCATGTCGTAAAGCGACTGGTAGAAATCAATACCGGTTATACAGCCTTCTTGGACAATTTTGCTGTCAACACCACTCAGAGATTCGCATTGCTGGTGGAAATATACTCAGTCTGGTTATTAGACGAAAATCAAACTACGTGTGTATAATATATATGTGCAGTAGCTGTTTATCAGGTCGCCAGATCTGTCAACTTGGTTATTGATAGAGAATCTTGACATAGACCTATTAAATATTATCGTCATTGAGCCAAGAGCCCTTAACACTACTGGTAAAAACCTGACAATAAAGTGAAAAGGGTTTGTTTCTCGCCAGATCGTGGTACATCGCGACACAAGATAGTAAAACATTAATACGTATTGCCTCTATCAACACTTATATAGCAATTCTCGTGTTGACTATTTAATATGTCTTGATACGACATCAAAGACAGGCAGATAGTTGAAACAGGTTGACGACAAGTTGAAATGAAAGGAAGAGATACGGAATTTTACGTTCAATCAATTATGGCTATGGGTCTGATTTATTTTTCTTTTTCAAACTTCAAATGAATATTTAACGTGCACAGCCTGCAGCACACGGAGCCTTGGTTTATTGTCAGTCCCCTACAAAATGCATCACTTACAGGAAACCTACATAAGAGGTAGAGTTCAACTTTCTACTTGTCTACTTCTGATGAGACAACGATTTAAAACAACGCCATGCAGTGTACAATGAGAGACATCTGGGCTGCACAGGGGCATCAGCATACTCCTTTACCATTTTCAACTATCGATGGATCTAAAAATGAATTTCTTTAAAAAAAAAACCTCTAGATTTTTAAATTTGAAACTAAAAGTGTTGTACAGCATATTATTTAAATCGAAGTTAATTGCATATTGATTTAGCTTGAGGTAATATCAGTATCAGTGGTGGTCCACACCTCAATATAAAAACCCTAGTCACGGTCAAGACGACCTGAAATTTAAAAAAAAAACACCAGACAGTAAAAGATAGTATGAATATTAATTGTGTTTCGATATTGATATTTAAAATATAGTTTGCTAGACATGGTAACATACACCCACTACACAGCGGAATTTCTTGTCTAATTAGCTCGCGACCGTTGGTTCATAGACCCAAACATCTGTCTCTATTCCAGCCTCTTATAGCTTTTGGACAGATGTCAGCTGGCATCTGTCAAAATATCCAAAAGAGGCTGGGATAGAGGCAGATATTTCGGACTAGTTTTCTATATTTCTGTCACTTAGACCTGTAGCAACTTACCAACCAACTGTCTACCGACGATAGATGCGGCACAGAAAATTGGGATTAATTGTGCACATTCTGAAAAAGGCAGCCAGTATCATCATCAAACATGCGTTGTCATTGAACCCCCGAGAAAATTAAGACAGGACACCAAGAAACACCTTGCGATAGGACATAGGGAGGCAGACAGCAAGAAACAACTAGAGAGGACAGCCCAGGACCAATACATCTGATAGTCTCTTGTCGGCGGAGATAATCAAATGCGGAGTGGAGTAGCAACCTTGGTAGTGACGACTCAAAATATCCAGTCTAACTAGCCAACAGATTATGCTTTACGACAATAAAAATCCACAAATCCAAGTGGGCGTATACAAATTATAATTTATTAGTGTTGATTTAAACTTCTCGAATTTCAGCTTTATTGACTTTCACCGTGATATGGGAAATCATGAATGAAAAAAAACACTTTTTGGTTATCATGAATATTTGATATTCTGTTTACTATCTGTCGGTCGAGCAGTTTGATGTCGGATCAGATAACGCCAATTTGTAATTTTCAGATTACACGTCGTTGCTAATGTAAACTAATATGTATTCTAGATAAGTTTAAAAAAGAAAAAAAAAAGTTTAAGAAAATTTAAAATTCGTTTTGAAAAAAATACTAACATGCCTGCGTTTCTTTGGTAAGTTTTCACACATGCAAGTCTTAATTAAATTCACACGTTTCTATACATTTTAAATCATGAGTTGTATTTATTTAAAAATCAATAGGCAATGTTACAATTTCTTTTTGTAAAACGTAAACAAACTTCACAGTCACGACCTTACGTCTGTAGCTGGTGTGTCTTGGTTGTTTTTAAAAGGAGGAAGAATATTTTCATGCCTTTTCTGTTGTTATAATGGGGTAAAAGCCGACACAGGGTCTCTTGGAAGCACTGGCACAGGCATCAGATATTATCTTATCTGGAGGAAGATTCGACCTCTTGGAACTTAATCGCCTAGCAATCGACAATACAAGACACTACTCAATGAACTATTCCAGCTCAAGATCCATTTTGTTAGAAGTGAAATGGAAACTGATGGCATCGACTTGTCGGCAACTATAATTTTCCAGTCGTCAATGGACCCAGGTTGACTTGATCCAACTCGTGTAGTTGTGCGTGATATTATTCCGTATACGTGTAAACAAGTTTTAATTTGTAAATCCGGGCATTCTAAGGATATGATTACCAATTCAGTTACGTCATGACTGCATGTGACAAGGTTAACAATAGTCGAGATTGTATTGTCAGAAAACAGGGCGCAGGATTATAGGCCTGGGGAGTAATATCGATAACTATATTTGGGCCCAAATAGCTGGTAAAAACATATGGAGAGAAATGTATCTATTCGTGGGTATCATGTAGAACAATTAACATCTAGAGATGAAAGTTCAGATAATGAGAATCATCAAACGATTAATAACATATTTCACAGATGACCTACATATATACTGACCTTATTAATTGATATAAGTATCACTAATTTGCATTGACTTCCGGAAGCAGAAACAGTAAGAAAGACGTAAGCCAAGCTAAAGGTGTGCCAATTTCTGAAGAATTTACATAACAAGATCTTTGACAGTTTAGATATTACCTCGAATATTTGACAAATAATAAGATAGATCAGATAACCTAATAACATAATAGTATGGAATATATGTCATTTATTTACAGATGCTGACGGAGAAATAAATAGAATAAATAAAACCAGCTTCAGAGGAATTTGCATATCGAAGATAGGAAGTAAGTAGCCTCTGTCATCCAGTCTATTTTGTCTACGTACAGTTTTGACGAAGTCTGGGCGTCAGAGACTAAGAAGGAAGAAGGAATATCATCAAAGAATGGATTTAAGATCATAGATATATACTGACACAATTTTCCGGTTTATGATCATCACTAATAAACATAACTTCCAAAGCGAGCTGTATTGTTGTCTTCTAGGCGATTAGGTACCGCGGGTTCGAATCTTCCTCAAGGTAAAAAATATCTTATGCCTGTGCCAGTGCTTTAGAGAGTCGGCTCTCACTCACTAATACCAATATAGATACAGGGGGATGGAGTAGGTTAAGAGGCAAAAGAAACCGATCATTTTTCGGTACCCAACTCTCAGAAGACTAAGCGGTCAAGCAAGATCTTCCCTAGAAGTTATTGCTGGATAGTGCTTGCAGGTTATCAACTTCTTTTAGCAAATACGACCAATCGAGCAAAATGATCGCATACAATCCTTGGTGAAATGGGGGTATTAGTTTATATTTCTGTATCAACTGTGTTGAAATCTTCAATGAATCACATATAAAGATCTGACGAACGGAACTGTCCACCTTTTTACTGTTGTAGATTTTAATTAGACGTTTCAAACTATTGATTAATTCACCAGTTGTAATTTAAAAGTTCTAATAGTTAACTCTTCTACAGACGTCAAAATTAGAGGGAACATTTCAAGATTCTGCAAGGTACATATTCGTCAGATATCTATGTAGAAAATGAAATGGAGCTTTACGTCCTAAGTTTCAGCACCTACTGGGCTAATGAAGACGGACAACACCATACAGTGTGCAATGAAGGAATTTTGCTAGGATAACGGCATTACTTTACACTTTTTCAATGTCCAATATTCAAGCTCGCAAGGTATTGGTTTCCTTACCTGAATCTCCAAATGATTGTTATAAATAATATAACTCTATTCTGCAAAACCCAACGGGTTTCGGTCGTACCTCGAAAAGATTCAAGAGCCAGGCTGGGAACCAGAGTTCTAACACATAGAAGAACTAACAAGTGACACAACAGTATGCAACTGAATGACAGTCCGTTAGATGTCGTTCTTAGACTGAATATTCATGTACGCTTATTCCTCGATCTTAATTAAAACATATCACGTCAATTCTCAAATTATCATGCGTTATTTGACAAGATTTGTCTCACCGTGGAATTGATAAGCTGGGTGCTAATTATTTCATAAACAAATTACAGAACGACTTGGGAATGGAATTGAGAGTGCCGGAATGTCTGAAATCAATGACTCATCCGTAAATTTATATTCAATTGGTAAACGTCGTTAATGGTTCAGAAAACAGACAAACAATACGGATTCATAATGGAATAGCAATCATAAATTATTAATGACATTGTAATTGTCAATTATTCTCCAAGACATTTGCAAATGATATGTGAATATCACAAGTAATCAATGCCAGTTGGACCTAACCGGACATTAATCCGCAGTATCTGTCCTCCTCGTTTTCATTCAGTCCAATAAAATTTATAAAAGTTGTAAAACCAGTGGCACTATTACCATAGGGAACCAAGTCCCCGAGTAAAACCAAGTCCCCTAGTAAAACCAAGTCCCCGAGTAAAACCAAGTCTCCAAGTAAAACCAAGTCCCGTAGTAAAACCAAGTCCCCTAGTAAAACCAAGTCCCCTAGTAAAACCAAGTCCCCTAGTAAAAACAAGTCCCCGAGTAAAACCAAGTCCCCTAATAAAACCAAGTACCTTAGTAAAACCAAGTACCTTAGTAAAACCAAGTCCCCTAGTAAAACCAAGTCCCCTAGTAAAACCAAGTCCCCTAGTAAAACCAAACCCTAGTAAAACCAAGTCCCCTAGTAAAACCAAACCCTAGTAAAACCAAGTACCCTAGTAAAACCAAGTACCCTAGTAAAACCAAACCCTAGTAAAACCAAACCCTAGTAAAACCAAGTCCCCTAGTAAAACCAAGTCCCCTAGTAAAACCAAACCCTAAGGGGGCCCCGACTACAGATATTAAAAAGATGTACCAAAGTAAGTTGCTAAAAGGTTAACACATAATTCAAAATAGTTCACAATTGATGCTGGGACCCTACCA